AGGATGGGCAGCTGGCAGAGCAGCTGGCGGAGCTGGACGAGGCTGCGAGCGAGGGGCGAGAGATGCCATTTAAGCCGATTCCCATCTCGCCCCGGCTCGCTACATCATTGGAGGAGCCACCAGAGTTGGAGCTTAAACCCCTCCCATCTCATCTGGAGTATGCATTTCTCCGGGAGGGGAATAAGCTCCCGGTTATTATTAGCTCGGATCTGACCCCCGAGCAGAAGAGCAGGCTGGTGGCTCTGTTGCAGAAGTACGCCCGGGCCATGGCATGGAAGATCACTGACATCAGAGGCATTAGCCCATCCTTCTGCTCTCACAGAATCTTGATGGAGGATGAGGTTAAGCCAGTCAGGCAGCCGCAGAGAAGATTGTCTCCTAACTTGGAGGCAGTGGTCCGGGCAGAGATCGTGAAACTCATGGATGCAGGGATCATCTTTGCTATATCTGATAGCAAGTGGGTCAGCCCCACTCAGGTGGTTCCGAAGAAAGGCGGGATGACTGTGGTCCCGAACGAGAAGAAGGAGTTGATCCCGATGCGGACCGTGACCGGCTGGAGAGTCTGCATCGATTACCGGCGCCTGAACGACGCCACCAGGAAAGATCATTTTCCCCTACCTTTCATTGACCAGATGCTGGAGAGGTTGGCGGGCCATGAGTTCTATTGCTTCCTGGATGGCATGTCTGGGTACTTCCAGATTCCTATTGCACCGGAGGATCAGGAGAAGACCACATTCACTTGCCCCTTCGGCACTTTTGCTTACCGGAGGATTCCATTTGGGCTGTGTAACGCACCGGCGACCTTCCAGAGATGCATGCTGGCTATCTTTGACCGACTGGTTGGAGAGATCATGGAAGTCTTCATGGATGATTTCTCGGTATATGGAGACTCCTTCACTCACTGTCTCCATAACCTGGAACTCGTTCTGAAGAGGTGCGAGGAGACGAATCTGGCACTCAGCTGGGAGAAGTGCCATTTCATGGTTCGTGAGGGTATCGTGCTTGGGCACAAGATCTCCAAGAAGGGGATTGAGGTAGATCGCGCGAAGATTGAGACGATCAGTCAGCTACCTCCTCCCGTTTCTGTGAAGGGGATTCGCAGCTTTCTGGGTCATGCAGGCTTTTACCGGCGCTTCATCAAAGACTTCTCGAAGATTGCCCTGCCGTTGACCAAGCTGTTGGAGAAGGATGCGCCATTCCAGTTCACTCCAGAGTGCACAGCCGCATTTGAGACTCTGAAGGAGAAGCTTACCCATGCCCCTATCATGGTGACTCCTGACTGGTCTCTTCCTTTTGAGCTGATGTGCGATGCGAGTGATTATGCAGTCGGAGCAGTTCTGGGTCAGAGACGCGAGAAACACTTCCAGCCCATCTACTACGCGTCGAAGACCTTGAACGACGCACAGGAGAACTACACCACCACAGAGAAGGAGCTCCTCGCTGTGGTGTATGCATTTGACAAGTTCCGACCCTATCTGGTGCTCTCTCATGTGGTGGTTTACACTGACCACTCGGCGATTCGTTATCTGATGAGCAAGGCTGATGCCAAGCCTAGGCTCATCCGCTGGATCTTGCTGCTGCAGGAGTTCGATATCGAGATCCGGGACAAGAAGGGAGCCGAGAATGTTGCTGCTGATCATCTTTCACGGTTGGAAGCCCCTCCGGTGGACAACTTCGAGGAAGAGATCGACGACTCCTTCCCGGGTGAGCGATTGCTGGCGATGACCCTGGTGGACAGCGTTACCCCTTGGTATTCTGACTTTGCCAATTATCTGGTGGGCAAGCAGTTACCCAAGGGGATGGCTACTCATGCGAAGCGCAAGTTCTTCTCCGATCTGAAGCACTACTTCTGGGAGGATCCTTACCTCTTCAGAATCGGAGCAGATGGCGTGATCCGGCGCTGTGTCATGGAGCATGAGATGGGAGATATCCTGTCTCACTGTCACGAAGGACCCACTGGCGGTCATCATGGAGGAACCCGCACGGCGCGGAAGGTGTTACAGTCGGGCTTCTATTGGCCCTCGCTCTTCAAGGATGCAGACACCTTCGCACGCCAGTGCGACCGCTGCCAAAGGTCAGGTAACATTTCTGCCCGGGAAGATCACTGACATCAGAGGCATTAGCCCATCCTTCTGCTCTCACAGAATCTTGATGGAGGATGAGGTTAAGCCAGTCAGGCAGCCGCAGAGAAGATTGTCTCCTAACTTGGAGGCAGTGGTCCGGGCAGAGATCGTGAAGCTCATGGATGCAGGGATCATCTTTGCTATATCTGATAGCAAGTGGGTCAGCCCCACTCAGGTGGTTCCGAAGAAAGGCGGGATGACTGTGGTCCCGAACGAGAAGAAGGAGTTGATCCCGATGCGGACCGTGACCGGCTGGAGAGTCTGCATCGATTACCGGCGCCTGAACGACGCCACCAGGAAAGATCATTTTCCCCTACCTTTCATTGACCAGATGCTGGAGAGGTTGGCGGGCCATGAGTTCTATTGCTTCCTGGATGGCATGTCTGGGTACTTCCAGATTCCTATTGCACCGGAGGATCAGGAGAAGACCACATTCACTTGCCCCTTCGGCACTTTTGCTTACCGGAGGATTCCATTTGGGCTGTGTAACGCACCGGCGACCTTCCAGAGATGCATGCTGGCTATCTTTGACCGACTGGTTGGAGAGATCATGGAAGTCTTCATGGATGATTTCTCGGTATATGGAGACTCCTTCACTCACTGTCTCCATAACCTGGAACTCGTTCTGAAGAGGTGCGAGGAGACGAATCTGGCACTCAGCTGGGAGAAGTGCCATTTCATGGTTCGTGAGGGTATCGTGCTTGGGCACAAGATCTCCAAGAAGGGGATTGAGGTAGATCGCGCGAAGATTGAGACGATCAGTCAGCTACCTCCTCCCGTTTCTGTGAAGGGGATTCGCAGCTTTCTGGGTCATGCAGGCTTTTACCGGCGCTTCATCAAAGACTTCTCGAAGATTGCCCTGCCGTTGACCAAGCTGTTGGAGAAGGATGCGCCATTCCAGTTCACTCCAGAGTGCACAGCCGCATTTGAGACTCTGAAGGAGAAGCTTACCCATGCCCCTATCATGGTGACTCCTGACTGGTCTCTTCCTTTTGAGCTGATGTGCGATGCGAGTGATTATGCAGTCGGAGCAGTTCTGGGTCAGAGACGCGAGAAACACTTCCAGCCCATCTACTACGCGTCGAAGACCTTGAACGACGCACAGGAGAACTACACCACCACAGAGAAGGAGCTCCTCGCTGTGGTGTATGCATTTGACAAGTTCCGACCCTATCTGGTGCTCTCTCATGTGGTGGTTTACACTGACCACTCGGCGATTCGTTATCTGATGAGCAAGGCTGATGCCAAGCCTAGGCTCATCCGCTGGATCTTGCTGCTGCAGGAGTTCGATATCGAGATCCGGGACAAGAAGGGAGCCGAGAATGTTGCTGCTGATCATCTTTCACGGTTGGAAGCCCCTCCGGTGGACAACTTCGAGGAAGAGATCGACGACTCCTTCCCGGGTGAGCGATTGCTGGCGATGACCCTGGTGGACAGCGTTACCCCTTGGTATTCTGACTTTGCCAATTATCTGGTGGGCAAGCAGTTACCCAAGGGGATGGCTACTCATGCGAAGCGCAAGTTCTTCTCCGATCTGAAGCACTACTTCTGGGAGGATCCTTACCTCTTCAGAATCGGAGCAGATGGCGTGATCCGGCGCTGTGTCATGGAGCATGAGATGGGAGATATCCTGTCTCACTGTCACGAAGGACCCACTGGCGGTCATCATGGAGGAACCCGCACGGCGCGGAAGGTGTTACAATCGGGCTTCTATTGGCCCTCGCTCTTCAAGGATGCAGACACCTTCGCACGCCAGTGCGACCGCTGCCAAAGGTCAGGTAACATTTCTGCCCGGGATGAGATGCCCCAACATATATCTGTTATTTGTGAAATTTTTGATGTTTGGGGTATCGATTTCATGGGCCCATTCCCTCCATCTTTTGGCAATCTGTACATTTTGGTTGCAGTGGACTACGTCTCGAGGTGGGCAGAAGCTCAAGCCATGCCCACCAATGACGCAAGACGGGTCTGCTCATTTCTGAAGCAGCTGTTCTCCCGGTTCGGGACACCTCGCGCCATTATTAGTGATAGAGGAACCCATTTTCAGGGGCAATTCACTAAACTCCTCTCTCGCTATGGCGTTAAGCATCAGGTGTCGGTGGCCTATCACCCCCAGTCAAATGGGCAGGCCGAGCTGACGAACCGGGAGTTAAAACGCATAATTGAAAAGACGGTGGATCAGTCCCGCAAGGATTGGTCCACCAAGCTCGATGATGCTCTCTGGGCGTATAGGACTGCCTATAAGAACCCGATTGGCACTTCTCCCTATAGGCTTGTCTATGGGAAGGCGTGCCATTTGCCAGTAGAGCTAGAGCACAAGGCCTTCTGGGCCATTAAGCTGCTAAACATGGATTTGAGTGTTGCAAGTACAGAACGTAAGTTGCAGCTGCTGGAGTTGGAGGAGTGGCGTTACCACGCCTACGAGAACACCCTGCTCTACAAAGAGCGGACCAAGCGTCTTCACGACGCTAGGTTGAGGGGCCCGAAGGAGTTTCAGGTAGGTGATCGTGTTCTGCTCTTTAATGCACGCCTGAAACTCTTTCCGGGCAAGCTCCGTTCTAGGTGGTCGGGTCCTTTCACGGTGACTCAAGTTTTCCCGCATGGTGCGGTGGAGATCAGCAATGCTCAAACCGAGCCATTCAAGGTGAATGGCCACCTCCTAAAGTTGTACTTGGGAGGTGCTGTCGAGCGCGCAGAGCTGCTGATCAAGCTCGAGGACCCTTAGTTCCTCTACTGGCGTCCAGCTAAAAGACGGTAAAGAAGCGCTTGTGGGGAGGCAACCCCACCGAGGTTTGCATTTTCTTACTCTTTTTCCTTTGATTTTGTGTGTTTTTGAGTCTTGAGACGTTGATCTGGAGTTCCGTGTCGTGTTTGAGTGAAAACAGGTTGATTTCGGGACCCCAGCAAGGTGCACGGCCAGAAAATCAGCTTGCACGGCCGTGCGCCTTGGCTGGCCTGGCCGTGCGCGCTCTCGCACCAAGTTGCACGGCCAAAAGTGCATTGTGCACGGCCGTGCACATCCTCGGCCAGGCCGTGCGCGCTCTCGCACCAAGTTGCACGGCCAAATGTGCTATGTGCACGGCCGTGCAACTCCCTCGGCCAGGCCGTGCGCGCTCTCGCACCAAGTTGCACGGCCAAATGTGCTATGTGCACGGCCGTGCAACTCCCTCGGCCAGGCCGTGCGCGCCCTCGTCCCAAGTTGCACGGCCAAATGTGCTATGTGCACGGCCGTGCAACTCACTCGGCCAGGCCGTGTCGGCCTGCACGGGCAAAATGCCAAGGTGCACGGCCGTGCGCCTCTGCCCGTGCAGCCGAGCACGGGCTCTATAAATGGCCGTGCACGGCCATTTGGGTCAGAAACCCACTTTTTCTCGCCGGAATCCTCTCCCCCTCGCCGGAAAACCGCGCCAAACATACCTATTTTGATTTTTCCGGCCACTTTGGGTCCGTTTTTCACCAAACCAACACAAAACCCATTTTTTCCACACCCAAGGCGGCCTATCCCCCGAGTTTGAGCGCGTTTGGGCGACATTTTTGTCGCCGGAGGCGATTTCCGGCGAGAATCCGGCGAGGCTCCGACGAGCATTTCCGGGCAGATTTTAGGCATTTCGTCGCTTCCATCGCCTTCCCCTCATCTTCCCCTACACCTCTACTTGAGTCTCCAGGTTTGATTTTGCCCCTAACTTTGTTAATTTTGGAGAATTGAGTGTGTAGGGTGTTTGTTAGAGAACTTTTGTGAATCATGCGATTTGTGTGAAATTGATTGAGGGGAATGCATGGGATGTGATTGAATTATGTTGGGCAATGTCCCGTTTGTTTGATTGAGCCCTTGTGTGCAAGAATTTGGCCAATTTCATGCTTCACTTAATAGTGCACACAAGGTGTTCGATGAAATGCCTGTTTTCCATGCCATGTTGTGGCCACCGGTTGGGGCCCTTATTGATGTCGTTTGTGGGTGTTTTTGCTATGACTGTGAACCTTGAGTTGCCTACTTTATTGTGATTGTGCACCCCCACCCGGTTTATGCTTGATTTATCGAGTTTTTGACCCCCGAACTATGGATGAAACCATGGTTCGGCTGCTTCCTGTTCTTCAGTGTGGGGGTGGACTTGACCGTTTCTTTGGCTCTTTTGGTTCCACTTTGGGTTGTTGTTTTGCAGGGCAATGACACAACCTAATTTCCAGCACCCGTTCATCCGGGATCTCAGGAGGGGTTCCACCGCAGCGCGCTTCAAGCAAGTCGTGGAAACCCCGTTTGGCGCCCACCATTGCTTCTCCAAACGGGAGTTTCAGCAATTGCACTGCTACGACCAGATTTCCGCCGTGCTCGCCAACCCTGCATGGCGCCGTCTGCTCCAGATCTGCGAGACGTGCTACAACGAGCCGGTGTGGGAGTTCTACACCACGTTCAAGCACAACTCCACGACCAGGTGCCATGATAGTACAGCCGTTCAATTCAGGCTGGGTGGGGTCCCCCGATCCTTGAGCTATCACGAGCTGGCTGAGGCTCTCGACCTCGACCTCGACAACGATCGGGACTACGTCACCGAGCTTAAGGAGCCGGAGGTGGACTTTAAGAGGCTGTATACCAGCCTGGCTCAGCCTGGCCAGACGCTTCCTTTCAAGTCTGGGAGGACGAAGGCATCGACCCTGCGGATTGAGTACCGACTTCTCCACCACCTGCTGGGGAAGTCTTACACTCCTACATATGATAGCTCCGGCCACATCACGAAGAGGCCCCTGTACTTCCTCGATTCGATCCGAGAGCGCGACCACCCTCTCCACCTGGGTTCGGTGGTGGCCATGACATTTGCGAAGACGGCCAAGGAGCTGAAGAGCCTCCACTGCGCCCCCCTCATCACCCGCCTGGTCACCTTCTTCGGCCTCTCACTGCAGGGGTGCACCAAGGAGGGGGAGACCCAAATCTTTGGCGCTGCGACGATCGGGAAGATGCTGTTGTTGCGGGAGAGGAACGGTGTTCAGTGGGTCGAGGGATTTCCGGAGCCCGAGGAACCCGAGGAGGAGGCTGACGATGCGGTGGACATCGATGAGGTGGAGGCTGCTGTGGATGCTGCTGCGGATGCTGCTGCGGCTGCTGCTGATGATCCCCCACCGACTGACTTCCATTTTGGGGGTGGCAGCTCCACTTTCCAGGGCCAGGACTTCTTCACCCAGCAGTTCGAGCAGCTGAGGATCCAGAACCAGTTGCTCCTCGACCAGCAGGTGCAGTTCCAGCAGCAGTACGCGGCAGATCAGGCCGAGTACCGGCACAGGCTGGACACGATCCAGGCTCAGCAGGGCGTGACTCTCGCCCATATCGAGCGGGAGAAGCGTCGTTCCCGGCGCATGCAGGAGGTTCAGCAGCACCTGCTTCAGCTGGTTCCGGGCGAGCCACCTGTATGGAGGACTCCCTGGGACGACTCCCCTCCACATGACGGCGCGGCTGGCGCTGCTGGTGATGATGCATTCATGGATGACATCGACTTCACCGATCTTGGCGACGAGTAGGCTGTACTCGTTGCCCGTCTCAGTGTGTTTGTTTTTGTTTTTTTTTTTCAGACTTTTGAGTGTTTGCTCCATGTGTGCGGAGCTTGGACTTAGTGTCGGTTGTTTTTTGTTTTTGGTTTTTCATTTGTGGTTTGATGTAGCCGTCTGGGCTAACACTTATCCCTAACACCAGTGTGCTAGTGTTCTGATGTTCGATTTGTGCAGTATTGACCACTTCCCCGTTCGCTTCTCGCTGACTGGTCCACTTCCAGTCCCCCAGCAGTGTTCTTACCCGGTAACATCGTTCCCCTTATCTTTCCCTCTACTCCATTGAGGGCAATGTCGTGCTTAAGTGTGGGGGGATGTTTTGTATCGGTTGGAATATTTTAGATGGTGTTTGGAGCCTAGTCCACTGTCCGAATCTTACGATTTGAGGGCTCCAAGTACTGCTGTTTGATCATATTGGCACTGTGTTTTGATGGATGAATTGATTGGTTTTCGGATTAATGCATGACAACTTGTTTGCGACTAGGACAACCTATGATGAGGACTGAAATGTGCAGTAGAACGATGTAGGGGTTCAGTTTTTCAACTGTTTGCTTGCCAACTGTGACTTGATCTGACTTGATCTGATTACTTGTTCTTGACAGTCGTTTATGCATCTAGTTCAGGGTATCAGAATGTGAGATAGAGCATATAGGTAGCCATGTGAGATTTGAGCCTGCTCGTTTCTTTCTTGTGTGATAGATCCCTCTTCCATGATGTGTAGCATTCACGTTGTCACTAGCTAAGATGATGGGGGCATAGGATTAGCCCACGCCCAAAACTGACTGTCCTGATGTGTCATATCCCCTAGTCAGCCCCTTTGAGCCGTGTGTTATCCTTTCTTTTGGTCTTTAATGAAAAAATCACCCTTGTCGCATCTTTTAGAAGGTTCCACAGAGTGGTTTTTACATATTCTCTGCTGTTTCTGCTTAAGTCTATGTGAGTGTTGGAGGCAGTGCTTAAATGTTGGGCATGTGTTTGAAATGTGCAGAGTGGTGGCTCTCTTAAGAAATGAAAAGAAAAATAAAAGAAAAAAACAAAGAAAAAGTGAAAGCAAAAGAGAGCCACTACCAAAAATCTGAATAATGCCCAGTAAGTAGTGTTTCTTAGCAGTCTGGCTTGGAAATGCTGATGTTTATGCCTCCTTCGCTCTTGTGCTCTTAAGATATTGAGTAATGCAGGATAGCAGAAAGAAAATACCGGGTTGTTGACTGTGGTTGTGTGTTTGGAAAATGTGGAACCTTTTGCTATGAATACTTCCACCACCTAAAAGGCCTTTTCCCCATGTCCAAGACCCTAGCCAGTCATTTGAACCTGTGTCTAAGACCTCCTGATTAGTTAGTGGTGACACCCCATATGTGAACTCTAGCATTTAGAGGCTGCCATCATGGTGAAGAGATGATAGGATTGAGAGAAATAGCATGCGCATCTTTCGCATCAAATTGTCCTGACCCCACTGGTCGAGAGTGAGTGATTCATTTTCATTTTCTATATGCTCTTGTACCCCGGTGAGGACCTAGATTGCTCGGTCTCTATTCTGATGTTTTGAGTTGGATGCATGAGTTGACTGTTTTGAGTAAGTGGTTGAATCAAGTCTAGGTTGGCCAGTGAACAGGAGGGAGACTCTTCCTTTACTCGATTTGCTGCACTCGAATGTCCTTTGTGGTGGTTGTCCAGGTTGTTATTGAGGTTGTGCATGTATTGATGTTTGAAAACCAGTGCGATTCACGTGTTCTGTGCCTTTATGACTTGTCCCCAATGTTGGTTGATTGAAATATGTAAGCTTACCTAGTGTCTGACTTGGTTTGCTTGGGGACAAGCAAACGGTTAAGTGTGGGGGAGTTTGATAGACCGTCATTTACACATGTTTTTACCCTCATACTAACACCGTTTGAGGTGTTGATTCTCGTGTTTTAGGCCGATTTCACGCTAGGTTGTGCTTGGTTGTGTTATTTCAGGTCCTAGTACGTGAATGAAGGCTTAGGAGCGAGTCTGGGGTCGATTGGATGAAGAACGGACGAAGGGCGAGCTTTTGGAGGAGTGCACGGCCAGACCAGGGGGGCTGCACGGCCGTGCACTAGTGCCATTTGGCCGTGCGCCTCACGACGAGAGCTTGCACGGGCACATTCCAGGCTTGCACGGCCGTGCGCCTGGCCGTGCAAGAAGGCTGAGCTTAATAAATAAAACGATGCGTTTGATGTTGCACGGCCAGAATGGGGTGGTGCACGGCCGTGCACCTGCCCGTGCACCTGGGGAAATTCGGTTTTAGTGCCTAATCCGAGCCAAAAGGGAGAGAATCGTGTTTTGAGAGCAAAAACAGAGCCCTAGAGAGAGAAAGTGCGAAGAACTCATCCTAGAAGCCGTCTTGGAGCTGGATTTCATCAAATCGAGCCTGGAGATCGTCATAGGAGTGAACATCATCGTCCCGGAGCAGATTATCCTCATCGTTATGAGTATGACTAATCCGATTCTTGTTTTCTCTTCTCTCTCTATGGAGTAGAACCCTTCTCTCACTTGGGTATGAAGAACCCTAGTTCCTTGTGTTAGGGATTTGATTGTAATGACTTGGGAATGATATTATTGTTTGATTTTAATCGAATGACGCATGTTTCATGAATTGATTTGAGTCTGATCAGCTTGTTTCAATTTCTGCTTCAACCTGAGATAGATAGAATCTGATTAGGTTGTTAGAGCCTCTTCATTCGATAGTAGGAGATTGGCTATACGAGAGTTAGCCAGTTTACTGCTTTGTACTGGTGTTCTTGGCGCCAGTAGTGGAGTTCTGTGTTCATAGCCTCAGCTTTCTATCCCGGTGAAGACTAGTCGCCTGCCGGGTAGTTAGACTGAGAGGGCTTGGTCAGCTTAAGAGATTCCAAGCTACTGTCGGATCTTCCGCAGTCTAATCAACAGTAAATCAACCCAGGGAATTACAATTGAACCTAACTAAGGGGCTAGGGGGACTCAATCCCGAGTGACTCTTAACTGCTTTTGAAAACCGAACCATTTCCTGCTTTCTTACTGCTTTTGCTTAAACAACAATCATTCGAACTAAGTTGCTAGATAATAGAGAATCACGGAGTAAGCAGTAGATCTAGACCCCGGGTTGATAATTAAACTTGCCTGTTACTGCATTCCCGGACTGCGATTGCACTTGGTCGCAGTTTGGTGTTGTGTTTTGGCGTGTCAATCATCTATTTACCTTGCCAAATAACACAGCCCTCACCATCAACATCCATTCTATAATGATACCATGGCCTTCTTTTCAGTATTTGCTTCCGAATCCAGAATCCTGTAGGTGTGGATTTGATCTGCCAAATAGACTCCCCTCGGAGTCTATATCTAAGGATTCAAGCCACCCAGAAGTTGTCGCTTGCATTAGCAGCAACTAAATAAGTCTTGCGACACAAGCCACATTCCAGGAGATAAGATCCTTCAATCCCACATCCCATTCCTGCTTTGGAACAACAAGGATCTCCCAAGCTACTTTTGCTTTCCCGGATTTCTCCCCATGCTAAAGAAAATCAGCACAAATCTTCTCGATTGACATAATCATCTTCTTAGGGAACACAAAAATAGTCATCCAATAGTGAATGATTGAGTATAACACATAATCAATGAGTTGCAGCTTACATGCATAAGACATTTTGCCAGCTCTCCAACTTCTAATTCGATTAGTAAGTTTATCAACCAAAACTGAACATTCTCTATTAGTCAGCTTGCCTGAAATTAACGGGAGACCCAAATATCTCACAGGAAACTGCCCCTCTCTGAAACCAGACACCCATGTAGCATTCTGTTTACATTGCTTAGCTTGTCCCCCAAAAAAGGCTTCACATTTACTTAAAGCCATAGTCGATCCTTCTGTAAATATAAGAATATCATCTGCGAAAACCATATGGGTTAAACCTATATGCCTACATCGGGGATGAAAAGGTAGAGTTTTTGAATCAGCAGCTACATCAAGCATACCCGTGAGAGGTTCCATTGCAATAGTGAAAAGGTAAGGGAGATAGGATCCCAAAAAAGACTTCACATTTACTTAAAGCCATAGCCGATCCTTCAGTAAATATAAGAATATCATCTGCGAAAACCAGATGGGTTAAACCTATATGCCTACATCGGGGATGAAAAGGTAGAGTTTTTGAATCAGCAGCTACATCAAGCATACCCGTGAGAGGTTCCATTGCAATAGTGAAAAGGTAAGGGAGATAGGATCCCCTTGCCTCACGCCCTTAGTGGCTTGAAAGAAACCGAACAAGCTACCATGAATCGGGATGGGTCAATTTTGTAAATTTGATGTATAATTGAGGGCACGGAGTTATAAATTAAAATGATTGATCAGAATATCGAATATGTGTAAAGTTCGGGCCAGAAGAAAAATATGAACCCAAAAAGTTCTCCAAAAAATATTGAAATGAATTTCATACTAGAAGATTCATAGGAAATTTAAAAAGTGTTCAAATTGTTGCCTGAAATCCGCATCTCGTACTCAATTATCATAAATGGTCACAAAACTATTCACTTTGTACAAAATGGTCACAAACCTTTAATTTTGCACGTTTCGGTAATAAAGGTTTAAGCGAATAACGAAATGGTAAATCCGTCCATCTCCATCCAAAAAACCGTTACTTTTGTCTAGTCAGCATGCCTCGTCATTTAAAATATTAATAAAAAATTAATGAGCAAATCCAATTGAACTGATAACCCAACTGAACACCCTAATTTTATACCCACCCCATCGGTTCCGCCATCGATTCCGGCGACTCCAGCACTGCCTCCCCATCGCCGCCATCTCCTCCCCTCTCCAACGGAAATATAATAGCAAATAAAAGAGAATTGAACTCGTTCAAATCCCTAGTTGGAAGCGAACACTCTGGATCCCAATCATTACAGAGCACATCGCAGGCAACGGGAACAGCTTCATCCCCCACCTTCAACTCCAATACCTTTGTGCCATTCTTGCTCTCGTAAGAGTTATTGTTGCCTGAGCTTGAGGTGGAGGCTCGTACCGACACCCCGCAGTGTCGTCTGAAGGAAATCAACGACTGCGGCGAGAGATTGGAGCGCGAGGGTTTAGCTGAGATTTGGCTGGGGAAATTAAGGATCGCGTTCAGGGGCCAATGGGGTGATGGGTAAAGGGTTTGTTCCGACCGGTTGAACTTTCGGGTTAAGTCGGCTGATTAATTATTGTTTAATTAATATTTACACTGACGTGTCATGCTGACGGGGCGATCTAGGACGGAATTTGGAACGGAATTGGACGGATTTACCATTTCGTTATTCGTTCAAACTTTTATTACCGAAGCGTGCAAAATTAAAGGATTGTGACCGTTTTGTACAAAGTAAATAGATTTGTCACCATTTATGATAACTACCCGTAAAATGTGCCATCTCTCCCAAAATAATATAATTTCCCTTCTTATTTTCTTATAATGTAGACCACTGTATCACTCTTTCTCCAAATTAATGGTTAGATATTGAGTTATGTACTACAGTAGTACAAAACCTTGGGCTTTGAATCGGAGCATCAGTCAAGTTTTCATATATAGTCGGTTTGCATCAGTCACTATATCACTCTTTTTACCAGGCCCAAGGCTAATATGAGTCCATACAGTCGAGGCACAAAAAAGTTGTCATGAACTTCAAGTGCCAACTGCCGAGCCATTATCCAAATCTAAATGTTGATCATTGCATTTTCACAGTTCCACGAAAGGTGTTTTTTTGTTCCAGAAGAATGTTTATTATGTTGCACATTTTGCCTATTCTTGAGAATATAATGGATGCCATTGTTGTGCTACAAGAAGTGTTTCTTATTTTGCTCATCATCAGGATACTCATCTTATGCAAACTCATTGTCACCGCTTGTTTAGAGAATCTACTTACCAATTGATGGATTTGGTAATGTTCTTCTTAAGAATAGATCTTAGTGCATGTTGAGCTTCAATCAATAACGAAATAGATCCTTTAGAATGTTGTCTTACACGAATTGCAGCCAGAATACTAAATACTCAGAACCAACCGAGCAAAGATAGTACAAATACGTGAAAGTGTAAACTTGGAGAGGATCCAAAGATAGATGAAAGCCATACACAATATACTCATTATTCATCCATCTTCTCATGATTTAAGTACGATAATTGTCGAACCTTGTCCATCATCGTGTATGCTTTCTGAAGCACAAACAGTACGAGAATGGAACTCGCTTCCATATCTGATATTTCTCATCCATTGCAGACCTGAAGGAAAGAAGTTAATTTAACAGATAGGTCTGAGGTTCAGCACAAAAGTAATGACTTTGCAACGAAACCTGAAGCAACTTTGTAAGCGAAGAAGCAGAAGTTTTGCTATCAAGGATGTTGAGATTTGCAATTATTGATCTTTTAAGCTTATACGGATATGCATCTACCATAGTTGGAAAGATTTTCACGGATGTCTTTACAGTTTAAAAGGGGAGGGAAGCACCTTATACTAGACAGAGATGAGGTTTCCTGTTCGTCAAAAAGAAAAAAACAGCATTACTCACCCTTTCAAGCTGCCCAACTCCTCCTTGGAGGCTTCATAAATTACTTCCAACAGTGTCTTTCTCAACTTGTTAAGTGATACCTGCATTCCAATTTCCAACTCTCCAGTGTTAAATTCTATTTAAGCTAGAACAATAATAGCAAGCACGTAATATGAGTGCGATTAGATAGACATGTCATGGGTAAAGTAAGACACTAGCTGTGCCTGTGCTTCTTCTGTTTTCCAGATTCTCAATTCATTTATTTGGGTTCTCTATGGCTTCCAGCATTCTGACTTACAAGCTATGACAGAATCAGAGTTGTTGGCAATACACTATCTTCTACTCTAGTTTTCAGTAGAATAGAAGACCCTTCTATTTCCCCACTTCGGAAATTCTTGTTACTGCTCTTATCTTTGCATTTCCTATTCTTTCCTCTAATTCAAAGCTCTCCTCCCAAGTCTCATCTTTAATCCAACATGGTTTCCTCCTTTAACATCTCAATGCAAATAAGAGACATGAAGTAATGTTACAGAATGACTGACCTGCCGAACCTGATTTATGGTCCTAATGCTGTGCCCAGGCTATCCACTGAGATTGTTTGGCCAGCATCATGAGCATGTTTCCAGTTATAACACCATTGAATACGACTCAGCCATCCCACAATGGTTCCTTGACCAAGGAATTTATTTTTTTGTTAAGGAATGTAAGCACATCTTCCCTTCCTTCTTTCAGAAGCAATTGTCTTAACCTGCCAAATGTGGTACCCGAAGGTTGAATTCCCTTCTCGATCATGTCTTCCAACAACACGCAAGCCTGAGTAACATCCCCTTCCTCACAAAGTCCGTTAATGAGAACTGAAAAGGTATGCAGGCTAGGAACGAACTGTTTCACCTTCATGTACTTCCAGACTTTGAAAGCCATCTCCAGGTTCTTTCTCTCACAGAACATCTTTATCATCATTGTGTATGTGTCTGCATCTGGGTCACACACCTTGATCATGCTGCGGAAAACAGTAAACGCTTCATCCGTCTTCCCACAGTCAATCAAGCTGTTTATAATAATGTTATAAGTTCTTGAATTACATGAGACACCCTTAGAGTCCATCTCCCTTAGAACCCTGTACACGTTCTTGTGTTTGTTAACCTTGCAGAATGCTCCAATTAAAGCATTGTACACTGGAACATCAGGATATATACCTTCCTTTTCCATCTCGAGGAATGTATCAACAGCATCTTCGATCCGTCCTTCTGTGCCATAAGTATGAACCAGAACGCTATAAATGAAAGGTGTCGGCTTACAACCCATATCATTCATCTCTCTGACAATTACTAAAGCTTCATCAATCCTCCCAGACTTGCAGAGAAGATTGACCATGATCCCATATGTGACAACATCAGGGTTACAACCGTTGTCAACCATTTCTCTGAAAATCTCCCTCGCCTTGGGGAGATTTGGAGCTCTCCCCCATCCCTCCAACAATATGCTATAAGTTTTCGAATCAGGGACAAACTTTTCCTTCATACTATCAAACAACTCCTGGGCTTTCCTCACATTCTTGGACTTGCAGAAAGCACTGAGCAAGCCATTGAAAGCTGCCAAGTTCTTGGGCACATCATATTTCTCCATTACATTGAACGCATACACGGCTTCCTCCACCTTTTGAGCCCTAGCATACTTCCTCATGATAATACAGAAGGTCTCGACATTCAACATCCTCTTGCTCTTCATGGCATTCACGACATCCCACATCACCCTGTATTGCCTTATCTTGGAAAGAGACTCTATCATGGTATGGTAAACCCGAACACTGTGTTCATAGTGCCTTTGCTTCTCCGCCCATTCGAAAAACCGAAACGCGATCATGCCCGCATTCTCGAATCTCTTGAGCACATCTTCGACTACTTCGGGAGAAACCCTAACCCCGCTCTGCTCCAGGGCGGTATCCAGAGTCACGGCAGTGGACGACATCATTATTTTGCATATGGTTTTCACTGGATCTGGTTTTTCAGCTACTGAGGGAGTTGAACTGTAAGCTCTCATCCCCATACGCATTATGACGGGGCGATTCTCAAGCAGCATAGAGCCACACCGAATTCTCGAGACGTAAGGACTGTAACTGCCACAAAGAGATCGAGAACGGAGATGAACGAGACGGTAGGAACAGAATTTTGAAGAAGAGGTTGCGGGAGACGGTGGAGGAGGTAAGGCCGTAAGGGAAGGGAAGTTTTTGATTCTTGAGCAAATCTACATGTCCGGTGTTTGCATTTCCTCCAAAAAAAATTTTTTGTTGAAATAGGATGTAAACATAGTGTTGACACCTAAAATTAATTTGGCCCGAGTTAAATGCCGCATTAATTAGTCTCGGCATTTAATTCGATACCGCTGGTAAAAAACGGTGTCGTGTGGAGTCAAGCGGCACCGCGGAGAGTTAAAACGGTACCGCAAGGAGGCTCAGCGGTACCGCGATACTAGAAACGGCACCGCGCGTTTAGTTGGTGTTGGAGAAGGAGTTTTGTTTATAATTAATTAATATTTTTATTCCTTGTTGGAAGGGGAAAATCGGTACCGCATGGAGATAACCGGCATCGCGGAGAGTTAAAACGGTACCGCGGAACTGGAGAGGGGCCGCGCGTTCTAGTGTAGGTGTTGGGGAAGGAGTTTTGTTTATAATTAATTAATATTTTTATTCCTTGTTGGAAAGGGAAAATCGGTACCGCATGGAGACAAGCGGTACCGCGGAGAGTTAAAACGGTACCGCGGATTTAAAAACGGTGCCGCGAGAGCCTGGTAAGCGGTACCGATGGGCAAGTGACCAAAATTCACCCGGCCCAATGCGAGCGCCGACTGCGGCGGTTCCAGGGATTAATATTTTTTGGTTATATCAGCGGTTTCGTTTAATCCAAAACGGTACCGCGAGTAAGGCCAACGGTACCGCGGACTAGCAAACGACAGTGTTTAAAATAACAAACAATGTCGCAAAAAGGAAAAACAAACGGAGTTGTGGTGGCGCTAGCGATGTCGTTGGCCATAGCTAGTGATGGACGGATTAATTAATTAATATTTTAATGGCTGTTTAGGACGGTGTCGTTTAGTTGAAAACGATGCCGCAAGAGGAAAGAAACGACACCGCGAATTTAAAAACGGTACCGCGAGTAAGCCCAACGGTATCGCTGTGCTAGCAAACGACAGTGTTTAAAATATTTAAACAATGTCGTGAGGAAAAGCAAACGGAGCCGTTTTGGCGCTAATGATGTCGTTGGTCAACACACGAGTTTGACTAGTGATGACCGGATTAATTAACTAATATTGTTAATGATTATTTAGGACGGTGTCGTTTAGTTAAAAACGATGCCGCAAGAGGAAAGAAACGACACCGCGAGTAGGCCAAACGATGCCGCAATAGTTAAAACGACAGTGTTAAAACGGCATCGCGAAGTTCAACAGCATCGCAGAACTAGAAAACGATGCTGTTTAATTAAAACGGCGCCGCGAAGTGAGGGCTTGACGGCGTGTCAACAATGATGCCCGGTTTAATTAATTAATATTTTAAGGATTGGTTTAGACGGTGTCGTTTAGTCGAAAACGACATCATGGGAGATATCAACACCGCCGCGGTACAGAAACGATGTTGTTTAATAGAAAAAACGTCGCAGTGGCGAAAGTTTTGTGGATTTTGGCTCGGTGTCGTTTTGGCCAAGTTTCCGCGTGTCCAAGCGGTTTCGCACTCGTGGGAGTTACGCAACAAGGAGGAAGTTACCTGCACGGTTGACAGGAATGAAGACGTGGGAGACAAAGGCGCGAAGGCAGTTACTACGACGAGGAGAAGCGCGAAGTATAAAGATTTGGAAGAGAGAGAAGTTCGGGGGCAAAATCAAATCACAACTGCACCATAGCAGAATCTATCTTTTTCTCTCTAGTTCGTAGAACTTCTCTGTCAAAGACCTCCTTTGCAGAGTCGTAGTAGTTGTAGATCGTAGTCGTAGTTGCGGAGCTCTCCAGAGGAACCTCCATAGGAGTAGAGGTAACGTAACTTAGAGCACTCCTGGTTCGATTTTCTGGTTATTCGCCGAACACCCTCGTTCGAACGTAGTTTGGAGAGGTGGTGAACCGAATAACGGTTGTTTGATTAGAAGTCAAGGGTGTATCGATCAGATCAACGACGTCGACACCGGCGGCGGATATTTGACGATCTTCTTTGTTTTCTATTCGATCGATCAAATCAACGGCGCCGACTTTCGGCGACGGGTATTTGACGGTTGTGATTAACGTTGTGTTTTGTGTGTTTTCTTGAAGACAGTGCGCATTGAACACGCGAGTTTCGCCATCGAAACACATAGGTCCGAGCCGGACCGACAAAGTTAAACTATTAATTGGGTTTTTTTGTTAGTAGATACTTATATGGTTTAGATACAATTCAAGAGGGTTAGAGCGATATAATGTAGGGGTGGAAAACAATTCGGTCTGGTTGAAATCGGACCGGATTAACGCGGTTTTTTAAAACCGTTTGGGCAAATACCACAATCGGAGGCGGGATTGGATTATATCCGGTTCCAACCGTGATCGAATTGGGTCGGATCTGGTTTTAAACCGAAAACTGGGCTGGCATTAACCCCTCACAGAACGTTGTCGTTTGAAGAAAAATTGACGATGAAAAATAAAAATCAATAAAAATAAAAAATGAAAATAGGAATCTAAGATGTCTCCTTTCCTCCACTTCTCGACAACTCCCTACCTTTCTCAATCTTTCTCTCTATTCTGGAAATCAAAAATTTCTATACTCCCATTCTTTCTCGATCTTTTATCTGCCTTTTCTCCTCTCTGGAGAGCTCTTTGCCTTCTTCGTCGCCGTCGCGCGCAGGGAAGCCGGAGAGCTCTTTGCCTTCTTAGTCTCCGTCGCGCGTAGGGGACCCGAAGAGCTACCTGCCTCCTTCATCGTCGTCGTCGTCGTCATGCACGGGTCTTGCATGTTTCGATATGGGAGAAATCCAGAGGAAGGCAGGTCAGGTCATGCATGTCTCGATCTGGGATAGAAATAGAGTGACGACCGCTTCAAATCGGCTAGTGAGACTGAGAAGAGAGAGGCAGAGATGCGGCTGCTCCAAATCGATCGTCTTGGTGTCGCCGCCGCCGCCATGGAGTCGGATGAGAGGCAAGCAGAGAGGGTGAGTGAGATAGAGTGGGATTTTGGAGATGGGACGGTGATTTTTGGCTTTGCCGCTGGGACGAGATTCGAGAGAAGGGAAGAGATTGAAGAAGTGCGGCTACACCTTCGATTCAAGTGTGAGGGAGACGATTTAGGGTTGTGGAGTCAGGCTTTAGGGATTTGAGAGGGTTGGTGGGCCAGTAGTTGGGCTCCGGCCTAATTAAGTTGTTGAGGGAGGTGGGCTTGCTGGAGAGATGGGGTGAGCTCAAGTTGGGCTAACCGGTTTTCCCGGTTTTAACCGGATCGGACCGAGTTGTGACCACTGCAACCGCAAACTGAATTGGGTTACTTGAAATCCGGTTTCCCGTTACAACCGGAACGGTTTAAACTGGCCGGTTTCCAGTTTGACCGAAAAATCGGGACTGGATTCCCAGCCCTAATCCAATGGACGAGAGAGACAAGCTCATTTAAGTGAGCTGTGTGAGCCTTTTTCCCCAAGCCAATTTAATGAAGGAGCTGGATTGAGTGGCTATGGGTCTACCAAAATTTGGGTGGGATTTGAGAGAAGAAGAGGATGGGGACGAAAAATTGGGAAAAGAAAAAGGAGAAGTGATGGGAATTAAATGCCCAAACATTTTTTTTTATTATCTCTCCCAACCAAATCAATATTTATCGTTAAACTAATGTTTATCAAACCTCAAAATAACTCAACTATCATAAATTGATTCCACCAATTTATGATTTTAGGGTTTAGAGTTTAGGGTTTAGAGTTAGGGTTCGAATTTTGGTCTATGGTTTAGAGTTAGGGTTTCAGGTTTTGGTTTAGGGTTTAGAAGACGATATTGCGCAAATGTTTATGAGCACAATGTAAAGTGGTTCGAGGTTTAGTGTTTAGGATTCCGGGTTTACAAGACGATATTACGAAAATGGTTATGAACACAATGTACGGTAGTTCGATATTTGCATGTGGTGATAGGATATTATTTTGTTTTGTGATGTGTGGATATTTGTATGTGTAGTCGGATATTAGTCTACGCCGGTAAGATATTTGTCCATGTGTGGTGGATATTAGTCTGTTATGGTGAGAATAATAATTTTGGTATGATCGGATATTAGTCTGAGAAGGTCGGATATTAGTTTGGGTGGTGTGGATATTTTTTATGGTGAACGGATATTAGTTTGCAACGGTCTGATATTAGTCTGGTGGTTTGGATTTTTATTTCGTGTGGATGTTTATCTACTGAATTTGTATCATTAGAAACTTATTACACTTGTTTAGGATTTAGGTTCAGGTTTTGGTTTAGATCTTAGGGTTTAGAAGAAAATATTGTGGAAATTATTATGAACACAATTTAGGGTGGTTTGATATTTAACTGTGATGATATGGTATCATTGTGTATGGGAGGATCTTAGTCTATGATGTGTGAATATTTGTGTGTGTAGACAGATATTAGTCTGTGTGCAGTGGATATTAGCAGACTGGGCTACTAGTTCGGGCATTTTGTATATTAATTTTACTAGGCTGGATACGAGTTCTCTCGACTGGCTTGGCTCGCAGCCGAGAAGCCACAAAAATTCACTTAAATGAGCCATTCTTTTAGCCATTGAGCCTCAATCAAGGTTGTCAAACCGGTTTATGCCAGTGTGCCGATTTAGCAAGTTGAATGGTTCGACTGGTGGCACATACCGGTTTGTGCCGGTTCATGCCGGTTAATATTACAAATAAAATTATAAATACTCATATTTAAACATGACATTTAACGTCAATACCTAAACATTTATGCTTGAATCCAACAAATAACATCAATATTTAACTTTTATACTCATAAAATAAATAATAAAATAATTTTAACAATTAGATTCAATAAAATAAGGTCATTTTATTTAAAGATTCGTATATCGATCATGTCGATCATACCGGTGATGTCACGCCGATTTTATGACCGGTATCAGTTGAACCAGGTACAACCGGTGGCACGCCGACCGGCGTGACAACCATGGCCTCAACCCTTGGATCTCACCTCCCCCATGTGGTCTCCCATCTCACCCTATAAGTATATACTAATAAAAAGTCATGTTAGTAGAATAATTAGGTTGGAGTCGGACACGACCGTCCCCGTCCCCGCCAACACCAACCTTTGCACTTAAGTACAAAATGATAACAAA